TTGGGGTTCGTGTAATGAAAGAACATATCTGACTAGGCCACTTCTTCAAAATCATGCACTATCTATTGTCAGGCATTATTCCTCCCTTTTTCCTCTCCATCAGTTTGGCTAAATGGTAGTTCAGTTTCATAGGGATTAAGTATTTATTTGCTGATCTAGTGGTAGACTGAGTCTTAGAAATCAAGCCCTCTGTTGCCAGGGGTAGGGGTATAACTATCCTGGGGCACCAAAGATGGTGGTATCTCCTGTTGCTGTCATCATAATAGGCACCTAAAATTGAAAGTGTAAACTCCAGGATGGTGATATTGACCCTGAAGCAAAACCAAGATGGGCATATAGTGCTTGGACTGAGGTTGGTAGCATGTTTTAGGTCAGGTTTACTAATTTACTTATTACTTTCTATACTTTTAAAATCCCTTTTTATATTCCAAGAACTAGACATTGTAGGGAACTCCTCGTACCTTGTTTTCTCTCAGTAGATCCAGCAAATGAAAATGACAGCCCTGCAATAGCTAAATATCTAAGCTAAAACATATTTTAAAAGCTCTAATTGGTATAATAACCTGTAATTTTCTTTTCTTTTTTGGCATCACACATTTCGTATCTTGCATTTCCAGTTTCCCTCAATCACATAATTATCTGATATTCTTGTGGATTTTAAGAGGTGGTTTTGGTGTCATATTCTTCAATTAATTGACCAGTTTGCTTGCATTAAGTGTAATCTCTTGTGCTTTGACTTCCTGCCTATGGGACATTTGAGTTTAGTAGAACCTTTGGAGGCTTTTTTCCTGATTTGTTGAATTTAATACTAGTTCCTGGTCCAAGTGAGAAATGCCAGAGGCAGTACAAAGAATATTCTGTGTACTTGCAGCTTAAGCTTCCCTAAAAGTAATGCTATTTCTGAGTGCAAGATTGGATTGACTACCTTGGTTCTGTTTATTTTCATTGTGTGAATAATGGCGATAAACTTATTTTCTTTGGCCATTCCGTTGATTTTTGAACTTGGTTACAGCTCTTTTGTGGACTGTTTGAGACTGAATGTGACTTGTCAAGATTCTTACATTGAAGTGCTACCCCCACCAATGTGATTGTATTTGGAGGTGGGGCTTTTGGAAGAATAGATGAGGTTATAAGTGTGGTACTCCCATGATGGAATTAATACCCTTATAAAAAGAGGAAAAGACGTGAGAGCTATCTCTCTCTCCATGAGCACACAGTAAGGAAAGGCCATTGTGGGCACACTTCTCAGGCTGCTGTCTACAAGCCAGGAAGAGAGCACTCAGGAAGAATCAACTCTGCTGGCACCTTGATCTTGGACTTCCCGGTTTCCAGAACTGTGAGAAATAAATATCTGTTGTTTAAGCCACAGATCAGTTTATGACATTTTGTTATAGCAGCAACCTGGCTGTCTAAGACATAGGCCTTTTCCAGGTTTTGGATTCAATACAAATAGAAGAGGGCAATTAAAACTTAACCAGTATTGAGCATATGGAGGTGATAATTCTACTTCCTTAATCCTCCTGGAATCATACTTTAAAATCAAATATAAAAATAGACTATTTTTGGAGACAATATCTTTATGTTGTAAGCATTTTATTTATCCTTTCATTTGGCCATGTCCAGCATTTTTTTTTTTGTCAGCAATCTAGATGAGTACTGTAATGTAAATATCTTATTTTTCCTTTCTACAGTGTCCATCCCCCTACAACCTGATTATAGTGCCTTGTTTTCCTTGGGAAATCACCTTTCCCCGTTTTTACTCCCCAGTCCATGGGATTGAAGGGAGGCTTACTTCATCCATGGCTCCAGGAGTGAATGTGATATTCAGATGAGGAAAATCAGAGAACTACATCTCCTGACCACAATGATTGGTTCTGATATGGACATATGATTCATTTCAAGCCAATGAGAGATAGGTTTAAGTCTTTTGCTGAAACATTGGGACAAAGGCTGAAGTCCATAAAGAGGAAAATGATGTTGAGAGAGGAAGAGTACCCAGGTGGTATCATTTGATTACCTGGACTCTGTTGTATCTGAATCTACCCTGGACTTTTTGATCATGTAAGCCAATACTTTCCTCTTTGGCTTAGTCAGTTTTAATTGAATCTTTTCTAATTATAACCAAAAGAGTGCTAAATAACATGATTACCAAATTCACAGACAGTAAGAAGCATGAAGAAATAGAGAATATATTAGAATATATTACAGAGTGAAAATCCAGAAAGATCTTAGCTAAAAAGAAGAGTAGCAACTAGTAAGATACAATGTAGTAGTGATAAATATAAAGTCCTATGTTTGCTCCAGATCATCAGCTGAGCAGAATGAAGGTGAGGCTGACATGGATAAATACGAAAAAGATTTAGTCATTTTAGTGAATTGTCAGCTCAGTCACCATTATTAGTATGAGAAAACCATCAAAAATATGTGCATTCTATTCCATTAATCTATTTACCTATCCTTTTTTTTTTTTTTTAAAGATTCTATTTATTTATTTGGCAGAGAGAGACAGCCAGAGAGGGAACACAAGCAGGGGGAGTGGGAGAGGGAGAAGCAGGCTACCGATTGAGCAGGGAACCCGATGTGGGGCTCCATCCCAGGACCCTGAGATCATGACCTGAGCCGAAGGCAGACATTTAGCGACTGAGCCACCCAGGTGCCCCCTATTCACCTATCCTTATGCCCATGCCACAGTGTACCCTATTGTCTTAATGGCTATAGCTATACCGTAAGTCCCAAAAATTAGGTAGTGTGACTCTGACAACTTTGTTCTTCTAGACTGTTGGCTATTCTATGTCCTTTGCATTTCTATATAAATAAAATATTGCGAGTTTCCCCAAATTAAAAAGAATTAGTTAAGAATTGTATAATTTTTCAAGCTAGTAGGACTAGTGAATTATAAATCATTTTTAATGCCATTGTCACTTGAACTGGTTAAAAAAATAATACTCATTATACTTTAACAGTCCTTTGGGAAAATAGATATTGAATTATGCCAGGTCTTCAGAAATACATACTGAAGATGAAAAGGCCGTGTATTTTTATCTTTATAAACATAGTATATTTATGGAGAAATACATAAGAAACTACTAACAGTATTTTGCTCTGGCGGGCAGGTGGATTGGGTATCTGGTAAAGGACAGAGATTTTTTTGTATACCCTTGAAATCTTTTAAGTTAAAAAAGCTAATAATATTTTTCAAAATAAAAATGTAGTATACACTTTCATTATTCATGTATGTTTGATATCTATCTCTAAATCATAATGCCCTTGTATGCATGAAATCTGTTCTGATTTATGATTGTGGGTTCTGTTTATAGTTAATGTCACTGCAGTTTTCCCTCTTTATTTCCTGGCTCAGCCCATCGTGTGGACTCTAAGGAGCTTTAATCAATCTAGTAGATTCTGCATTTAACAAATTCTTTGATGTACCTCTTAAGATTTTTATGATTGTTCTTTACCCCCAAATAAATAATAAATATATGTTAGGACTTATAGTTCTTTTTTAGTGCTTCTTGTTTTTGCTCAACTTAATTTACAGTTTCTCATGTATCTTGACTGTACTTAATTTATCCAGGCCTCAGTTGCTTAATCTGTAAAATGTGTTGGCTAAAGTGTGGTCCAAAGTCTCTTCTGGTCCTGTGAGTTCATAAGTTTGTCTTCCATTTCATTTCATTCGATTCCATTCATGATCCAGATGAACGGGGTTGACATAATCGTCGAGACAAGATATGACATTCATAGAGTATTCAAGCTTCAGGAAAGTTATGCCTGCTTTTTGCTACTCCTTAGACCTGTGATTCACAGTTCTAGTTTTAGAATATTCAGGATGTCTGTAGTTACTAACAGGTGTGATAGATTGAATCATGGACCCCTCCCTGCATCTGCACTCCTGCCCTGGCTTCCTTGTGGGCATAGGGTACTTCCTCAGTTCTTTATTTGCTCTGGCTAATGACATATGAGCAGCAATTGTGTCATTTTTCAGCCTAAGACTTAAGAGGGCTTGTATGCTTCCATTAGTCATCTTGTGCTTCTGTTTCTGCTGGCTCAAGGAGAATGAGAGACATGGGGAGCAGAACTACAGATCTGAATTAGAAGCGGAGGCTGTCCATAGAGCCCAGTTTGGATCAGCTGTCTCAGCTGACCTGTGGATCTTCAATAATAAATAATTATTAAGTCTTGGTGTTGTCTGTGACACAGCATTTTTGTGATACAATAGGTACAATTGACTTTTATCAAAGTGTATTTTTAAATAGGAAACACATTCACATGGTTCAAAAATAAAAATATAAAAAGGCATATAGTGAAATGTTTTGCTCCATGCCCTGTTACTCGTTCCCCTGGTTCCTATCCAATGTCCTACCACCACGAGGTACCCACTTGAGGGATGCCTGGATGGCTTAGTTGGTTAAACATCTGCCTTCAGCTCAGGTTATGATTCTGGGGTTCCTGGGATGGAGCCCCATGTCAGGCTCCCTGCTCACTGGGGAGCCTGCTTCTCCCTCTCCCTCTCACCCCCTCTCCCCCGGCTTGTGCTCTCTCTCTTTCACTCTGACAGATAAATAAATTAAATATTTAATTTAAAAAAAAGGTGCCTACTTGATTGGTTTCTTTTGTATCCTTCTAGAGTTTCTTATGTAAATGCAAACAGACAAGAATATATAATCTTGGCCTCCATTTCCACCATTTTACACAGTTTTATGCTTTGCTTTTTCATCTGCTATCTTAGATATATTTGTGTATCACTATATAGAAAGCTTCTTTATTCCTTTTCACAGCTGTATTCATACCATAATAAAAGAGAATATAGTCTCCTATTGATGGTCACTTGTTTTCTACCTTTTGCTGCAATGTAAGTATATCTGTGGGATACATTCTTAAGAAAAAGAAGATGTATACAGATGGAATAGCTACTGCCAAAGTGTCTTTCATAGGGGAACACATGAGTTTTAATTGGTAAGAGATATTGTAAATATCTAACAGCATTTTCCTTTAATCTGCAGGGCCAGTGTAATATTTCACACAGGAAGCCATCCTACTGACATTCCAGGAGGACATGAAGTGGTATTTTCAGAGAGCTGACGCCTCTATACCAGGAAGTTCCCAGCGCTTTATAGGTATCAGCTTCTTAAATCCTCACAACATCCTGTGAGGTACTGTTACTACCCTCATCTTAAAGATGAGGAGATTGATGTGGAGGGAAGCTGAGTGACTTGCCTCATTTCATTCAGCTAGAAAGCAGTGGAGCTGGGATTCTAACTTAAGTAGAGTTACTCCAGGCTAAGACCACTAAACCATAACTTCTCTAAAATTACTTTTAAAATATAGGTATAATTAAACTAATATTAGTATAATATCCTAAAATATTTTTCCTGACATGCCCTGTTTTGATAGCTTTCATAAAAAATAATCTATAAATTGTGTGTGGGGGGTGGGGTGGGGGGGTGTATTTGACTGTACCTATGGGAATCTGGTGAATTTCCACTTAGCAACCTGAAGATGTATTAAGATATATAAGAAACTGGGACACCTGGGTGACTCAGTCAGTTAAGCATCTGCTTTTGGCTCAGGTCATGATCTCAGGGTCCTGCTTAGCAGGGAGCCTGCTTCTCCTTCTCCCTCTGCTCCTCCCCCCACTCCCCTGCTTGTGCTCTCTCTCAAATAAATAAAAAATCTTTTTAAAAAAAGATATATAAGAAACCATTATGAACTTGACTCACTTTCAAACTTCTGTGGTTATAATTGTTGGTTGAATTTTTAGAAAATGGGTTTTGGAAAATATGTGTGAGTATCTATAATTGGCTAAGCAGATAACATACCTTTGGCACAATTAAAAATATCACCTCTAATATATATTCATTTAATATTCATATTACTCCTGTAAATTATAGGTATTAATATTCTGATATTACAGATGAGGAAACTGAAGCTCAGAGAAAGGGGTTGGCTTGCTCAGTATCACCCAGATAGTAAGGATGATGATGATAATGAGTAATATTTACTGAGTACTTACTATATACCAGGTACCATTGCTAGGCCCACTTTACATGGACCTATTTAATCTTCACAACAATTCTATGAGCATTTGCTCTTACAGCTTTACAGATGATAAAACAGGATTTAAAGAAATTTAGAAACTTTCTTAAGGCCATATAGCTAGGAAGTGACAGTGTTGGGCACTTAATCCAGGTTTGTTATGATGGTAATTTTGATGCGTCGACTTGGGTAGGCTTCAGTTCCCACTGTAACATCCAGTGAAACACTAGTCTAGGTGTTGCTGTGAAGGTATTTTAAAGTTGTGATTAAAGTTCCTAATCAGATGACTTTAAGTAAGGGAGATTATCCTGGATAATCTACATGGACCTCAGTCATTTGAAAGGCCCGAAGAGTGGAGCTGAAGCTTCCCTGAAGAAGAAATTCTGCCTGAGGACTGCAGCTTCAGCTGCCTGAGAGTTGCAGCCTGCTCTTCCTGATGGTCTGTCCTATGGATTTCAGACGTGCCTAGCTATCCCTCATAATCACACAAACCAATTCTTTACAATAAATTTCTTAATATAAATCTCCTACTAGTTCTCTTTCTCTGGTTGAACCCTGATACGTTTGTCTAAATCCAAAGCTGAAGCACTTGCCAGAATGCTATACTCATTCTTTGTATACAGCAAATTAGAAATTTGAAACCAAGTCCAGAGCTCTGTGCTGCATATACATCGGAACCACACATTACACTTAATTATTCACTGCCTCAGTATAATGAAGTAATGAGCTTTTATATTTTGTACCCTCCAACTTGATAAGCATTTTGAAGGCAGACACCAGATTTAACTTATCTTATTTTTCCTGTACTGTATATCATGCACACAGGACGCACAGCCCTATTGTCAAAATGATTTCTGTCACACTTGCGCACAGGCACGTGGCATTTGCCTTCTTGCTTATGTACTCTCAATTTGGAGGCCATCGTTATTTTTTTTTCCCTAACTTTTCTTTAACTTTTCTGTTTTAATTCTTAACTTGCAAGCTTTTAGGAGCTTAGAATTTTAGTCAATGTTGCTGTCCCCTGTCTTATCCAATTATTAGGGTTTGTCATGAGTATGTAAAACCTTAGTGGAAGAAAGAGGTGATAGTCTGTCAGACTGTTGGGTGATTATTTGGCTTAGCTGTTTAACCTGTGCTGCAGTCCTTCCTGGGCTGGACCTCTGACAGATACTGACAAGAAAAATTTAAAAAATTTTCAGTTCCCCAATGAATATAGTTGGAATAGAAGGAACTTGTTCCTTACTATAGATAAGCCCTAAATCTAAGGTCAAAATGTTATTGAAGAGCAGATCCTAAGACTTAAGTGATTGGTTCCAAAAGATACTTTTATCCTTCTCTATTTGTATTGTTTATTTTTTTAAATTTAAATTCAATTAATTAACATATAATGTCTTATTTGTTTCAGGGTACAGGTCTGTGATTCATCAGTCTGATATAATACCAGTGCTCATTACAACACATACCCTCCCCAATGTCCATCACCTAGTTACCCCATCCCTCCACCCCACTCCCCTCCAGCAACCCTTAGTTTGTTTCCTAGAGTTAAGAGTCTCTTATGGTTTGTCTCCCTCTCTGGTTTCATCTTATTTAATTTTTTCTTCTCTTCCTCTATGATCCTCTGCCTTGTTTCTTAAATTCCACTTCTCAGTGATATCATATGGTAATTGTCTTTCTCTGACTGACTTATTTCACGTAGCATAATACCCTTTAGTTCCATCCATGTTGTTGCGAATGGCAATATTTATTTTTTGATGGCTGAGTGGTATACCTTTGTATATATATATATACCACATCTTCTTTACCCATTCATCTGTCCATGGACATCTGGGCTCTTTCCATAGTTTAGCTATTGTGGACATTGCTGCTATAAACTCTGGGGTGGAGGTGCCCCTTCAGATCACTGCATTTGTATCTTTGGGGTAAATTCCCAGTAGTGCAATTGCTGGGTCATAGGGTAGCTCTATTTTCAACTTTTTGAGGAACCTCCATACTATTATCCAGAGTGGCTCACCAGCTTGCATTCGCACCAACAGTGTAAGAGAGTTCCCCTTTCTCCGCATCCTCACCAACATCTGTCATATCCTGAATGGTTAATTTTAGCCACTCTGACTCGTGTGAGGTGGTATCTCATTGTGATTTTGATTTTGATTTCCCTGATGCCGAGTGATGTGGAGCATTTTTTCATGATTCTGTTGACCATATGTATGTCTTCTTTGAAGAAAGGACGGTTCATGACTTCTGCCCATTTCTCGATTAGATTATTTGTTCTTTGGGTGTTGAATTTGAGAAATTCTTTATAGATTTTGGATACTAGCCCTTTAGCTGATAAGATATTTGCAAATATCTTCTCCCATTCTGTCGGTTGTCTTTAGGTTTTGTCGACTGTTTCCTTTGCTGTGCAAAAGCTTTTTATCTTGATGAAGTCCCAGTGTTTTGCCTTTGTTTCCCTTGCTTTGGAGACATGTCTAGCAAGAATGTGCTGCAGTTGAGGTCGAACCTCTAGGATTTTGATGAATTCCTGTCTCACATTTAGGTTTTTCATCCATTTTGAGTCATTTTTGTTTATGGTGTAAGGAAATGGTCCAGTTTCATTCTTCTGCATGTGGCTGTCCAATTTTCCCAGCACCATTTGTTAAAGAGACTGTCTTTTTTTGCATTGGATGTTCTTTCTTGTTTGGTGAAAGGTTAGTTGACCATAAGTTCAGGGTCCATTTCTGGGTTCTCTATTCTGTTCCGTTGATCTGTGTGTCTGTTTTTGTGCCAGTACCATACTGTCTTGATGATCACAGCTTTGTAATTAAGCTTGAAGTCTGGAATTGTGATGTCACCAGTTTTGGTTTTCTTTTTCAACATTCCTTTGGCTATTCGGGGTCTTTTCTGGTTCCATACAAATTTTAGGATTATTTGTTCCAGCTCTGTGAGAAAGTGGATGGTATTTTGATACGGATTGCACTGAATGTACAGATTGCTCTAGGTAGCCTAGATATTTTAACAATATTTGTTCTTCCAATCCATGAGCATGGAACATTTTCCCATTTCTTTGTGTCTTCCTCAATTTCCTTCATGAGTGTTCTAGAGTTTTCTGAGTACAGATCCTTTGCCTCTTTGGTTAGGTTTATTCCTAGGTATCTTATGGTTTTGGGTGCAATTGTAAATGGGATCAAGTCCTTAATTTCTCTTTCTTCTGTCTCACTGTTAGTGTATAGAAATGCAACTGATTTCTGTGCATTTATTTTATATCCTGCCACTTTACTGAATTCCTGTATGAGTTCTAACAATTTTGGGGTGTAGTCTTTTGGGTTTTCCACATAGAGTGTAGTGTCATCTGCAAAGAGTGAGAATTTGACTTCTTCTTTGCTGATTCAGATGCCTTTTATTTCTTTTTGTTGTCTGATTGCTGAAGCTAGAACTTCTAGTACTATGCTGAACAGCCGTGGTAATAATGGACATCCCTTCCATGTTCCTGACCCTAGGGGAAAAGCTCTCAGTTTTTCCCCGCTGAGAATGATATTTGCTGTGGGATTTTCATAGATGGCTTTTATGATATTGTTTTATGAATTATGATTATGGCCTTTCTTCATATTGATATGGCTTTTCATAGATGGCTTTTATGATATTCACACTATGAAGAGTTTTAATCAAGAAAGGATGGTGTACTTTGTCAGATGCTTTTTCTGCATCTATTGAGAGGATCATATGGTTCTTGTCCTTTCTTTTATTTATGTAGTGTATGACATTTTTGATTTGCAGATGTTGAACCACCTTTGCAGCCCAGGAATAAATCCCACTTGGTTGTGGTGAATAATCCTTTTAATGTACTGTTGGATCCTATTGGCTAGTACCTTGGTGAGAATTTTTGCACCCATGTTCATCAGGGATATTGGTCTGTAATTCTTTGTGGTGGGGATTTGTCAGGTATGGGGATCAAGGTAATGCTCGCCTAATAGAAAGAGTTTGGAAATTTTCCTTCCCTTTCTATTTTTGAAACAGCTTCAGAAGAATAGGTATTCATTCTTCTTTCAATGTTTGGTAGAATTCCCCTGGGAAGCCATCGGGCCCTGGGCTCTTGTTTTTGGGAGGT